ATTTAAAAAAAAAAAAAAAAATGCAAATCCATACTGCATTTTTGAATGGGTAAAAAATATTTTGTGTTCTTGAAATAACATTCTTAAGCTCAACAAGGCTGCATTTATGGTTATATTTATTAACAGCAATATTGTGAAATATTATTACAACTCAAAATAACCGTTTTAACGTATTGTAAAATGTGTTTACTGCATTTTCAGCATCATTACTCCAGTCTTCTGTGTCCGATAATCCTTCAGAAATCATTCTAATATGCTGATCTGTTGCGCAAGAAACATTTAATATTTTTGTGAAAACCATGACATTTTGTCAGGATTCTTTGGAGAATTATATATCTTTTGTAATATTATAAATCCTTTGTAACATTATATTAGGTCACTTTTGATCAACAATGCATCCTTGCTGAACGAAAGCATTAATTACTTTTAAAAAATTCTTACTAACCCCACATTTTTCAATGATAGTATACACACATCCATATAAAAATTTAGAGCTGAATATTCTGGGTTTTTCCATCTTATTAGACATATACTGCATCTGTGGCATTATCGATTACCACAATATTTAAACACATTCCTCAGGGTAACAAATAGGCATGTTTACTGTAAATACACTTATAATGAAAGCGGGCAGTACTGCAAAATAAATAAATTGATAAAATATGCAGCTACATAAACATGGAAAAACTGATATAAAATTGTTTACTGAAGTGTAACCAAGGCTGCATCCATAGAGAGATTCTTGATCACAGTTGCTTTTAACTTCAACAAGAAATATTTTACTGTGAAAAGCATTACATACATTTATTTAACTGAAAATATTTCTCTTTAGGTTTACAGACATAACTAAAAGCAAGTGAAAATACACTGTCAGCTTAGTAAATATAGTAAATAATTTCCAGATAATCTCTTAATCATTAGCTTTGGCTTTAAAGCCAATTACTTAACATCGGAAAAACAACTACTTTCATAATATTACTCTTACTGTTTTGGAGAGAATATAAAAGGATCTATATTGCGCTACATTTCTATTTTAAGACAGGGGTCTTTCACAAGGGTATCAGATCATGATTGGCATGGTTTGAAAGGTTTGAAAACACAGATTACCCGGGTAAATCCCCCCTGAAAACAGTCTAATCTGAGAATGAAAAAAGCTTAGCTATTATACACAATAGCAAAAATGACACATGTGACTCACCGGGAGGAGTCGGCTCTTGTTCCCAAATTCTCTCCAAAAGAAGTCTCTCAACTGCAATCGCGGGAAACCCCTCATCTTCCTCTGACCTGTAAATCAAACACACAGTAATGAAGATGGTTTGCACATACACTACTTTTCAGTAATGGATTTCCAGAATTTGTCTCCAGCCAATAGAAATAAAAGAAAAGAAACATCCTGCTCACCCACTCCCAGGGCCCCTGATCAACAGAGGGCCAAAGATTTGGCCGAGGGTGTGAATGTCGAGGCCGTTCTGCGCAGCGCGCTGGCAGACCTTCTCCAGGTGTTTGAGCAAATAATGCAGCGTCAGAAGGTTCTGCAGTGGAACTTCAGGCTTCTCCAGTACCTGCAGCAGCTGCTCTCGTCTCCTCACGGAGGAAACGTCTATTCATGAATGACATGCTCAGGCAAAGACATGGCAGACACTCTGAGCTGTTTGCTCGCTGAGTTCTGTTACTTTCTACACACGGTGCTCTTTCGGCCTGCACTGATGAGTGAAAAGTGGCACATACCTGATTCTAGTTGCACTGCTGCCTGAAGGTCTGTATAAACAGAGGGAGGGATGATGGGGGCAGGAAGTTCCTGCAGGTACCGAACGAGAGCCTCCGAGAGTGCATGAATATCCCACTGTCCCACGTCCAACTCCTGCAGCTCTGCACAGCGACAAATGACTGGTCTCATCATGATGCACATATTATAAATGACCAGTCACAGCAAGATAGATACACATGATCTAACCCAAAACATCCCTTTCAAACAGAGTTACAGAAATATGCTGGAACTTATGGTAACCAAATAGCAAATCGCCGGTAAACATTATCTAACCATTAACCACATTTTACTTTGCCGTACCAGTCCTACTTATCACATTGGTTTTTTTTATAGTATATACAGTGGAATCCAAAAGTCTGAGACTTCATTAATCTAATTTAAAATCTAATCTTCAAAATCAAATTTAAACTTGGAAGTAATGTTTTAAAATATTTTAAATAATTACACAAACGTTATGATGTAAAATGAAAGATAGATAGATATTTAAAAACGTATTTATTACTTTCTTGATATACAGATTGATAGACGGATAATTACACTTATTTCATATCCAGAATTATTGAAACAATAATGCTTATATTTTATATGATACAATAAATATTACATACAATAAAATATATATTTTTAAATAGAGACATGAATTTATTAATTTCTTGATATATAGATCGATAGACAGATTTAAATAAGTAATTATTTTTCTATTTAGGATTATTTAAACAATAATGCTTATATTTTATATTATGATAAAATATATATTTATTACTTAATATAAATCTATTTGTAAATAAATTTATTTCATTATATACTATGATAGACAGATAGATAGATAGATAGATGACAGACAGACAGATAGA